CTTTTTTTTTTTTTGAATTCTATGAATTCATAAAATTCAAATAAAAAAAAGTTCATTGAATTTTGTTAAGTGTTGTCGAGATACTTTCGATCAAAGTCATGCATAAATTTGTCGTGGCTAACATTTTAGACATTTAAAATTTTTCTAAAACTTTTACCGAAGCTATCTTGACAACCACCTAATGAAGTTCGATGAACTTTTTTTATTTAAATTCTATGAATCCATAGAATACAATTTAAAAATGTTCATCGAATTTCATTGGGAGATTGTTGAGATACCCTCGATCAAAGTCATGCACAAATTTGCCACAGCTTATATGGTTTAAAAATTTTATCGAAGATATCTCGGCAACCACTCAGTGAATTTGATATTTTTTTTAAAAATTTGAATTCTATGGATTCATAGAATTCAAATAAAAAAAAGTTCATCGAATTTCATTAGGTGGTTATCAAGATAGCTTCGATCAAAGTTTTAAATTAAAATGTTAGCTACGACAAATTTATGCTTGACTTTGATCGAAAGTATATCGACAACCTCTTAATAAAATTCAATGAACTTTTTTTTATTTGAATTTTATGAATCCATAGAATTCAAAGAAAAAACGTTCATTGAATTTCACTAAGTGGCTGTTGAGATACCTTCGATAAAAGTTTTAAAAATTAGTGATCTACATAGGGTGTGGAACTACCAAAAAAGGGGTGTGGAAATACCGGGTTCCCTATTAATTATTCGAATTTTAATTATCTTCATAATATTCGTATATATGTCGTACGTTGAAATAGAATTGTTGTAGATTTAGAATCTACTTAGGTTGAGGTGGAATTCTAAATTTAACAAATGTTGATATGAAATTTTAAAGCAACTTAGGCTAATTCTAATTTGATGCTGTAATGAATGTGTAATTGATTAATATAAAGTGAATTCGTAATTGATATTGTAATTGATTAATACAAAGCGAAAATGTAATGATGTAATTGATTAATACAAAGCGATAGTTATGTCTTATGATAAATTATGCAAATTTTAATAAAATATTTAAATACATTCTTATTGTTTTATTATTTCAGTCAGGGAATATAGGATAGCGTAGATCGCTCCTTTTAGGTAACGAAATGTCGATCAGGCTATTCTAGATCATTCTACATGTGATCATCAGCTCCGTGCGACTAGCCAATAAAATTGCAAGGCCAAAACGTAACAACCAAGAATTTTATTACTGTACGTGCCGTACTGTACATACGTATGTACGTACAATGCTTTACCTACAGCAACTCCATACAATGAAATTTTGTTTTGCTGACTGCATGGGACAAATCGCCATTTATTGACATAGATTCAAGTGGATTTAAAGTGAATTATACGGGTAATATGAAAATGAAAAACCTTACAGAAACTTATCCCTTAAACCGTTTGAAATTCAGGGCAAATTTGCTCTGAATTTTACTATAAAAATACTTCTGATCTATTTTTTTAAAAATTTGATATATTTAATTAAATTTTTTTTAAATAAAAATTAAATGTAAGGATTATGTTTTTGCAAAATTTATATTTAAACAAGATAAAAAATTTAACTTACTTATAGGCTAAAAATATACAAAATTTTAAAAAATTTTTAATTAAAAAAAAAATTTTTATAATCATTTGAAAATTTTTTAAATATTAATTTTAAACCTATAGTTTCTTAATAGAAATTGTAGTTTAAATAAAGAATGACAACTTTTGTTATTACAACATTTATGATTTATTTGTAAAAATTAAGACTTATATTAGTAGTAAAATTTTTTTCATTAATAAAAACATATAAAATTTTAAAATTTAAAGAAAAATCTTATAGTAAAAAGTTCAAAATAAAAACTTTAATATTTTATTACTTCAAAATTTTTTAATAAATTTAAAAAATTTTCTTAATAAAGTTATTAGAATATATTTAAAAAAAACATTTTTTATTTAGAAAGAATATTTAAAATTTTATTTTAAAAATAAAATTTTAAACAAAATTTCAGGGCAAATTTGTAGGAGAAATGGTTTAAGGGATACTGTAATTTAAAGAATATCATTATAACCTTTTAATTTATTAAAAAGCCTTTAAATTAAAGATCCTGATGAGTTTAAAGCTGCTGTTGTTTAAGCAAATCATCCCATCTCTTTAGTGTGTGGGATACTTTGAAATTAAAATTATATGCAATGGAAAAATGAGTATCATTACCAGTAATAATTATTTTATAGACATTACCTTTATTATGATTTTTTATAATCTTTTAATTTATTTGTTTAGAATGATTGGAATCGGATATTGTACAAAGCAAAACAATAAAAAATAGATGATACTTATGCTTAGTAATAGCGAATTTTTATTTTATTTTCTTATTATTATAGATTAACGCCTATCACTATATTATATCTTTAGGATAGGAAAACAAGAAAAATAAATCATAGGGCGTGGTTATCATGGTGACGATGGATATTCTTTTTATTCAGGAAGTGGTGGGCTATATAGTTTATCAGATCCTCGTGAATATACTACTGGTGATATAATTGGTTACATGGGCAAATATGATGAAGTATTTGAAGATTTAACTAGATCGCTAGAAATTAAACCAGATAATACAATAGCTTAAGATATAGAGGTAAAATTAGTTATATAATTAAAAGGACGAATTTAGGAACTTGGTTTAAATAATTTGCTATCTGGATAATGCATTTTGTATAATGAATCAATCATTAACTTGGAGGAATTATTAAGAATCAAACCGAATAATATATGGGCAAAGAAAGTTTATAAATTAATTAAGATGAAATGTATTTTAAATTTTTTTTTTTATTTAATTCAATATTTAATTTTTATGATAATAATTTACAAAAATAAATATGTAATTTCTTAAGCGTAAGTATAAATTTTTAATAAATATAAAAAAATTTTTTTAAGCCAAAAAACTTTGAATAAATTCGCCAAGATATTTAAAATTTTTGTTGCCAAAGTTCATTTTAATTGACCTGCCTTACGATCTAAACCCAGCACAAAGGCACGCAACTTAAAATATTTTATAATTAATAAATTTCTGTCTATTCATTTTAAAAAATATAACTTTTAATTATAAATGCTATAAATGCTAGTTATCTAAATTAATTCTACTTTTAGTACAAAACACTATGTTTTCCCTATCATCTAACTATATCACTAGTAGTATATCCAGGCATGCTGCTTCCCAAACAAAAAGAATATTCATCATCACCATGATAACCACCTGTTCTAAAAATATGATATAGATGTTAGTCTATAATACTGTAATAATAAAATAAAATAAAATAAAAATTCGCTATTACCAAACATGAGCTATAATTTGAATTGCCTATTTTTTATCGCTTTGCTTTGTCAATATCCGATTCTGAACATTCTATTAAAAAAATTTTTACTTCGACATGCTTATTTTACAGGTTCTAATTATTTTAGTAATAAAATTTGCCGTAATGGATTATTTAGTAGATTATTAAGCTAAATGCTTTATAGTTATAGCAAAAGCTTTTTCACAAAGATAAGAAACTTAAAAGCATATAATTTGCGATCAAGGTTACCTTCTTACCTTTCATCTTGTGTGTAAAAGAAGCTTGGATTTCGGGTCTCATCTACTTTTTTAACAAGCATTAACTCACATGGATTATTGTAGATTATTTAAACTAGTTATTTTATATTGTCTACTTGTGCGTTTTCTTGGATTTCTAATAATAAATTAGAAGAACAAAAAATTCCCGAAAAATGCAGGCAAAAAGGTGCGCAAGAGCCAATCAAATTTGAGAATCAATGCGTAGATCATTCTAGAACCTGATTTCTTAATTCAGTATATTCCCTGACTGTATTTTTCTTTTTAGTTCATTCTTTTTAATTTCGCTTCTTTTTAATTTCGCCTCTTTTAAATTTCACTTCTTTTTAATTTCACTTCTTTTTAATTTTGCTTCTTACCTTTCATTCTTATAATTCTATCCAATGACCGAATTCCAAGATTATCCTTTTTTATCTCGTAATGCATTTAATGATTTGCTTGCTAAATATCTTGATAGCAAATTAGCAAATAGACAATGCAAAACTTTTATTATATGAGAAGATTTCGATTTATGTATAAAAGTTTTACAAAATCTAACTGATACAATAATCAGAAGTACAAAAGATCGATATTGGGCAAAAAAGATATTTGCCTTATGTGTTCTTGGAATACCAACAAACCCTATTATACAACTTATTAAGATTGATTCAAATTTACCTGTATGCCCTGTTGACAAGATATACAAGATGCTATGCACTCTACATCAAGATGTTTTGAAGCATGTTGGTTCATCAAAACTTTGGGAAGCAGTATATAATTTTAAATTATTGTAGGTTTTTGAATTAGTAAATACAATACTAATTTAAATTGATAATAGGTTTTAGAACAATGTTGTTACATTCCACAGTCTTTTGTAAAAGAATTTGTAAAGAATTGTACTACATGTGCAACAAGAAGAAACTTTCCAAATCCTGTGGCTGCAAAGCCAATAATCTCTAATGCATTTCTTAATAGAGTTCAAGTTGATCTAATTTATATGATGATTATCACTATATTTGCCATATTCGGGATCATTTTACCTGATACTCTTGGGCTCATGCAATAACTAGCAAGCGGCCAATTGAGGTGGCTATTTTTCTTTTCAATGTATTTGTTTGCTTTGGTGCTTCAATTATTCTTCAAACAGATAATGGACAGCGGAAGTAATCTGTGAACTATTAGCTATGTGTCCTGATGTTCATATTATTAATGGGTATCCAAGACACCCACAGAGTCAAGGGCTTGTGGAACATGCAAATGATATACTACAGCAAAAAGTTTCTAAATGGATAGAAGATATGCAAAGAAAGGATTGGTCTCGTGCTGTACCATTATGTTGTTGTAGGTATTCTAGCTTTGATTTACTTTATAATTTAATAATATAATTAATCAAATTTTTTATTAGATGCTATGAATATACAAATGTCACGACAAACCAAAAATAGTCCATATGCATTAGTATCTGGGCAAAATCCTTTGCGTCACTTTATGATATTAAAAGAAATTAAGGAACGACATATCAACTCTGAAGATGAATTACCTGAAAATTGGTTCGAACACTCTGAACCTCAAGATGATTTTGACCGACAAGAAATTATGGAATCACTTTTAGGAGCTGTGGCATTAAATATTGAGGTAATTTTTTTTTTTTTTTTTTTTATAAAATATATTTATTCATACAGAATTAGTTTTAGGAACAACAATTACTGGAGCTTGCTAATGACGAATTAGAAGATGAACAAGTAGATGAAGAAGAAGAATGGGTATATAAAAAAGTCAATCATAAATGCAAATGTTGATGAAAGTATAAATGAAAAAGTGCATAAAGATATCGATGAAAAGGTGCATAAAAGTATGAGTGAGAGGCAAATGAAAGTATGAACGAAAGGGCAGATAAAAGTATGAGCAAAAGGGCAGATGAAAGTATAAGCGAAAAGGCAGATGCAAGCATAGATGAAAGTATAAATGAAGGGGTAGATGAAAGTATAAATAAAAGTGTAGATGAAAGTATAAATGAAAGAATAAACGAAGACATAAGCAAAAAGGTGAATGAAAATATAAATAAAAGTGTGGATAAACGTATAAGCGAAAGAATGAATGATAGATGAGTGAAATGGTGAATAATAAAAGCATAAGTGAAAAGGTGGATAAAGACAGCAAAATAGTGGATAAAAACATGAGTGAAATAGTAAATGAAGGTATGAATGAAAGGGTTGATAAAGATACGAATGAAAGAGCAAACAAAGAAATGAATAAGAGAGTGGCAGAGACGAGCGAAAGCAAAACAGGGATATACAAAAAAATGAAAAAGAGAATGATTGAAAATGTAAATGAAGAAATAAACATAAGTATTAAAATTATATTACGTATTATTATTATAAAAAAAAAAAATTAAAAAAATTTTATAAAATAGGTGGAATTACCTGAAGAAAATATGTTATTATCTGAACTATCGCATGAAACATTCTACGAAAGTTTTTCTAAAAACAATCATGAAATTCATCCGATTAAAAAGCATAAATCATCTGATCAGGTATATTAAACATTATTTAATTTTATATTACGTATATAAAGAATTAAACCTTATTTTATTTTATATTACAAAGAATTAAACCTTATTATATTTTTTAGTCTTCAAGTAAATATGTGGTGCGCACTCTTAGGGATAAGACAAATACTCAACAAACTTCGGCGCATAAAACTTATCGAAATATAGCAGTGAAGTCTCTCGAAAGATATCGTGATGGTTTGAAGTTGCAGCTTAATAAGCGCAATAAAAAATTCGCTCATCAATATAATGTTGGAGATTTGGTACACCTCAAGATTCCTGAGATTGATCGAACTCACTGTGATCGAAAAACTCTTCCTTGCAAGGTACTCGAAGTTTTAGAGGATAACACATATAGGATTGGATGCAAGTCCGGCATTATTAAAGTCACATATAGTGCTAATGAGTTACTACCTTTGGGTCCAGATAAATTTCC